CATGTGGCTGTAAATTGAAGTGTGAAATGTCTTCTAATCTCATAATTTCAAGATCTTAATTAATTCACCTCTATTGTTGAAAAATAAGGACAACATTCCAATTGAAAAAGCATTCAACAAATCAATTGAGGAAATATTGTTGCCACATCATATCCATTCTTCATCAGGTATAACCAACTATATTTGGTGAAGTGATTAAAAAACACCACATAATATTAATATCTATCATATGACATGTGTTTAGTGCTCCAAACTTCCTAATAAATTAGTTAAAGTGGTCGAGAGCTTGACATAGTATTTTGATCAAATGACAATTTGTGGCTATTATTAATAAGACATGAAGAATAATGAAATTCTGTCAAACTAGTTGAGTCATAAGGTATATTACATGTGCGTATTATAGAGGCTAAGATTTTATTGGATGGATGGCCAAACTTGTGATGTAGTTAATGCACAGACAAGAAACTGATTGAAAAGAAAAGGTTGTGGAGAGGAGTTCCTATAGGTTAATCTTAAAAAAGAAAATTAGAGTCAAAGAATTCAACAGATGCATGATTAGTTTGACACAATTCAGAAATCAAAATCAAGTTTGTATATAATCGAAAAACACACAAGACATCTGTAAGAGAGCGTCCTAGTTGTAGTGAGAACTATGCATCAACCAATTTGAGATGTAGGTAAAGAATTATCATTACCAATTGAATTGTATCATGATCATCATCAGTGGATAAATCTTTAAGAGCTGTAGTAATCATGGTAGTATGATGTAAACCACCACTATCAAACATCCAATGAGCAAGATCAGATGAACAAGTAGTAGTAACGCTGACAAGATAAAAGTTATTGTTCTAAAGGAATCGAGAAGCTTATGAAAATCCTGAATAATATTGCCCTGGAAAATTACTGAACTTAAAAAGAATATTTTGTAGTCGAAAATTACTTAATTGAGTAAGAGGACTATGACCGCCACTAGAAGTTGAATGACCAAAGTGACCATCATTTCCTTGAGATTTGTTGATTGAATAACCATGATTCTAATTAGCTCATTGCGTAGAATTTTTTTTGGAAATAAGTGTGCTTGTTTATATTCCTAGATAAGATGCACATGGTAAGATAAGATCTCATACAACTCGAGCATTTTTTGTTGGTGTACTACGAACACGAAGTGTAACACCTTAACTTGTATATATGTACTATTACAAGTTAAAGATGTCACATTAATTAATCAAAACATTTCTTAGCCCATAATGGGTAAAATTTTGTTTCTTTTAAAAATTTCCAAATTTTCACATTTATTATAAAATAATCAATGATAGAAAATCAAAATGTAATATTTCGACTTCTAATTCAAATCCCATTTTAGGTAGTAACATGCACTTCTGCTCTGTTTAATATAATAAATAAAACTATCTTATTTTAAAATCTAATTAATTAATACATAAAACATGATTTAATATAATAATATTTATTCATACGATAAATTTTATTTCATAGACATTTCTTACTCGAATACTTGCTACCAAGAAAATTTAGAACATAGGATGTCATTATTGTTACCTGTAAATATTCCTAGATGATTGATGCCAAGGTCAGTTCCTTACTCCTCTAGCTTTTTTTACCTACGCGTGAATTTTCAAAGCTAACTTACAGAAACTGTTTTTAGCAGAATATGCTGCCCCATTTTCTAACCTATCCTCGATTAAAAATTCATATCTTTTTGTATATTATTTGAAATTAGTAGTCATTTGTTTTAATGAAACTAGACTGATCTAAAAATCCAAAGGTATAAAAGTAATCCTCTAATCACTTCTTTATAATTTATGGTGATTTTCTAAACTTACTGTTTAGATCACAAATTTGGCAGATTTCACTAATTTGCATCCTTAGCTTGTTCACTAATTCTATTAGCTTACCAAATGAACATTTATGCACGAATTACAATTCACATAAAATTTAAGACTTACTACTTACCATAGTAACTCCGCATTGGCCCATCACAAGCCAATGTTTGCACGATATTGTAAATATAAATTAAATATGCACTCACTGGTGTCCTTAGCACGTAAACTTTCCTTAGATATTCACATGCATCCATAAGTCTCCTTAGCTTCAATATTGTTTGATCTTGAATTCAAGCACACAATCTAAAAGAGCACCATTTACACAACATATATAATTCAAATCACATGTTAGAATCTTACTAACATAGGCAAGCATTAAAAAAAAATTCTTAAAAAAAATTTTCGACGCTCATTCGATACTAATTCCATGCCAAAACTTTAATGTTGACCTTAACAATTCAAGTTTACCACTTAAGTCCCTTTTTATCCAAATTCATCCAAACTTCACATAACATTTTTAAATTTACATTTTAACCACTAATTATGAATTCTTTTAGAATTCATCTCACTTTTTCATTTAATTCAAAATGGTTCTTTTCCATTTAACTTTAATTCAAGATTTAAATGACTTAATAATAAATTTCACCTTTTAATACCTCAAAAATTATACCATTTTCACTTAATTCATTAACTTTTCCATATTTATGATTTGGTCATTAAACTTTACCAGCTTTATAAAATATCCAATTGTCACCTTCTAACATCAAATTCAACTTTCTAACATTAAATTACAGCATGGTACATCATCTATTTAGCAACTGAACATCAATCCCATAATTTTTCATAATTCAAAATAGGTCCTTCAATTTTCAAAAAATTATAAAATGGTCTCAAGAACTTTCTAGACCTTGTAGAATCCTTCCTACATCATTTACAACCCTTATAAAATATTTCCATATTGTTTTTCACTGTTTAACATCATGATCAAATACTTTGGGCAGGGTTTCAATGGGTTCCAACTTGATTCAAGCTTGAAATAAACCTCTAATCAACATTTCAAAGCTTCTACAATTAAATCCCTAACATAATTTAACCAAATCACAAACTTCCCAAAACCCTAGGGTTAGGCCGAATGTAAAAGATGTATTTCTAGGTGGTTTTAATCGTCAAACAAGCTTGGAAATGATTCTAAAACATCAATAACCTCAAAATCCATAATCAATTCATAAACCCTAACTTCATCTTCATCCCCTAGCTTTAGGAACTAAGCATTTTAAGCAAGATTAGCATGCAAAATTGGTAAAATAGTATAGCTCTTTGAACATATCAATTTCATATTTCACTCTTTAATCCAAAAACCTAAGAAAATTGCTTGAAAATGAAAAATAAAATTTCTCTTACTTAGGATGGAGTATACGCCCATGAAGCTTGAAGATGAAAAAATCTTCATGAAATTTCTTATTAATTTCGTGTTAATGTTTCATTTATTAAGCTTAAATGAATTTAAAATTAATTTAATGAGAAATGACAATTTAACCCTTAATGAAACTTGATAATTACAACCATACATTGCCACTTATTAATTATCATCTTCCAAAGTCAGAGATGAACAAATTATTTTTCCCTTTACAACTTTACCCATGCACTTTTCCAAAAATTTCAATCTTCCCATTTTCATCCAACACACCATAATGAACATGGAAATTTATTTCAAATCCAATGATCTATATTATTTTCCATCATTTTAAAATGTGGAAATAATATTTCTAATATTAATTTATCATCTTTCAAATTTTCTCAAAATTTATATTCGATCCAATTTATCGAATTTTTAACCGAAATTTAACACTTTATAGCTTTTAACACATTTAGATAAAAAATTTGATTCCCATGAAAACATTATTATTGGGGGTGAACTATTCATTTACAGTGTTAGAATACATAACTTTTAAAAATTACATTTTTGGTCCATAAACTTTTACAAACTTTATACTTTGGTCACTAAACTTTTTCTTTAGTCACTACCCAAAATTTTGGGGTGTTACAATTCTTACCTAATTAGGAAAATTTCTCCTCGAATTTTCAGTATGCACATTATGTAAGTAGATGAGGATATTGCTTTTTCATATCTTCTCTTTTCCAATTAGTTTTTCAAACTTTTATCTCTCTAACAAACTTTAAAAAGTATTGACTTCATAAGTCAAATTCTGACTGAATCTTAATATCCTACGATGTGATAACATGAGATGGATCTGATCGATACTTTAAGAAACACTTATCACTAGTTTAATAGAATGCCTTTTTTCTTTTCAAATCTAAATAAGACTTTCGTTAATAGGTAGCTCTTGAGATTATCTTAAATAATCTTTACATGTTACAAAATCCATTGTAACTCATTCTCATTCCCAAAAAGGAATGAAAATCGATTACAACAATACGAAGACACTTAATACTTTGCTTTAACTTGTTGACATATCAGGTATTTAGAAACAAACTCGATGATAATTCATTTCATGCCTGCCACTAGTATCGACTCTTTCATTATTAATATAAGCATCCAACAAACTTAACCTCAAGGTCTTTGGTTTTTTTTCACTTATTCTATCTTTGACAAGCACTTTTCATCTTTATTTGAAGATCCTTTACTCGATCTAACAACATAGGCTTTAACTTAAATTCTACAATCAAAGCACCATCTTTCTTTAAAGACAATCACGTATTTTACTCGATCTAACAACATAGGCTTTAACTTAAATTCTAAAATCAAAGCACCATCTTTCTTTAAAGACAATCACGTATTCAAAACTCTCATAACATAAATGTCTTTAGCTTTATCGTATCAACCACCACATTAGCCTCTCCTGGTTGTAGTTGATAGCACATCATCATTCTTTAAGGAATTCAATCTATTTCCTTTATTTTTTAGTCCTTCGAGTTAACATAGACTTTTGAATTTTGAGATCTGTATGGATATATAGCGTCACTCACCTTATAAATAGTTGTGTTATATCAATAAAGTAAACACAACTGTTGCCAACTCGAGATCATAAGTCGGATAATAGAAAGGTGTTCTGTTTGAGTGGACTAGAAAACGACAATGGTTAAATTACATTTTAACTTCCATAGAAATTATTAATTTAATGAAACAAAAGAAAAAGGTCATGAAAATCTTGAGAGAGCCTTTATAACATTATCCATGGTGGGTCTACGATGAGGATCCGATTCAACACAAGCCTTTGCCAAGAATGCCAAACACAATGCATCAGCCAATGGATAATTCGGATCCATAAACTGCTCCAACTTTTCCAAGTACCTTGAACCTTCTTCAATCCCATTATCAGCAAATATATTCACAAATTCCTTCAATACTGCACCCTGTTTACCGGATAACAACTCGATCAAAACAACCCCGAATCCGAATACATCGACGTCGAAGCTCATTTCTCCGTCTTCTTCTCTGCGAATCAATGGCTTTGCCGATGTAAAACCAGTAATTTTAGCCCTCCAATCCTTTGTTATCAGCACGTTCTTACGATTTATGTTTCCATGGATATAACAAGGCTTCGTGCAATAATGTATGCAATGGAGAGCCACTGCTATGTCAAATGCAATCGTTGTTCTTTTCTCCCATGTAAGCTGCCTTGCGACACAAGCATTCGATAAGCAGTCCCTTAAACTACCGTATTCCGCAAACTCGAACACCAGATACGGGTCGGCACCGTAGCAGCATCCTTCGATCTTCACTATGTTTAGGTGGTTAATCTTGGTCAATATGTAAACGACGCGGCGAGCGGTTTCATCGGTGTTCATTCGCTCGATCGCCACTTGTGACTACCGATTTTCCCCCTATATACAGCTTCCCCTGCTTTGGATTCTACGTTGAAATCCTCGGTTGCATCCCTCAGCTCCTCCAAGGTGAAATTCATCAACGATTGCTTTAACTCGGACAATCTATCGAGAAATTCCGGCGAGACATTTGACAAAACCGAACTTCTACCAGATAAAAGCTGAAAACTGGTTTTGTTATGCCTTTTCCGAACATGATGGAACGCGATGACAGATGTAATCAGTAGGATAACCGCTGCGAAAAGGCCTAGTCCAAGAAATGTATATGAACTCAAGTGCTTTGATTTCTTGCTCGGTTCGATTTTCTCAATCGGACTGCCACTCTAGGACTAGAGGGTAAATCTTCTTGGACATCCAAATTAATTACCTGGACATCTTTTGTCGGAACAAGTAGTGTTGTGAGAGGGAAAATGGTCGGAAAAGATTGCATCTTATAGGCATTCCATATGATTTCTTCCGGTACTCCGAATTTCCGAGCAATTATTTCAGTATGATCGTTCTCTAACACTATATATGTTACAAGATGTTGAACCCCATTTATGCTTTGATTTGCATCCGGACATGCACATCGAATCAGTACCTTGATCATCAAGTCACCGGCAAGATTTATTTCGTAGTCCGGATTCTCCTCTTGGAGACTTTGCATTTTCGTCAACTGAAGCTAACAAGCTGGTACTGCTAGAAATATAGTACTTGAAGAACAACCGAGAGATCGTATGAAAACATAAGCATTCAACCGGCACGATGATCTCTTTTCTTAGCTCTAGATCGGTCAAATCAGCTTCAGTCATATGATTGGTTTCAAGGAGATCAGACATGGACAAATTGAAAAGAGATTCCATGGATGACATTGATTGAAAATCCTTTTGAACCCTATAAACTACGTAAGTATGGCATGGGGAATCTTTTGGGGTGCAAAGGTAGTTTGGTTCATGAACATTTGAAGTTGCACTGCAATTAGATTCGTCGTAGGATTGCAGCGAAGATATCGGATCGGTTAGGAACAAGAGTACGCATAAACCAATGAACTCGTGAAAAAAAACATGGTGAAAGATCGAAATTCGAAGCCGATTAAAGGAATGTAGCAGGTTATGATAGAGTTCTTGAGAGATTGTTGACAATGGAACTCAGTATATGAAATAAACCAATAGGCCGGCCAGCCGGCCTTTCACTTTCAATGAATCGGCGATGGTCAATGGACTGAAGCATTTGGAGCACTAAAATTTAATAATTCAGTAACTCACAATCGGCAGACAAATGTTTGGATGTCTCTAATGTTAGTTAAACTAATCGGCAGACAAATTTATGACGATTAGAATGAAAATTTAGTAATTATCATGTGATAGAGTTAATAATTCATATATTTTATTTTGAAAAAATAAGACTATTAATAAAATTTTATTAAATACTATATATGCTTAAACCCGAATTGCCTCGTTAAAAACCTTATTAAGTCTAAGTGAAATAAAAAAGTGCGTACACCCAACTAAGTCATATCTAAATATATGGAAATCCATCACATCGTAAGTAGAATATATCTTCTTACTTTATATAGACCTGCTCCCCACTACTCTTTATAATAACACAGATTTAAAAAGCCCGGATATACGCAAAATAAATAAATAAACATTTATAATTACCACCTCTCCTTGAATAAATCTTATATACTTGTACGCGCATTTTCTAGGTGATTAGCTTGTTTATGCCTCAAAATTAAGACTAATTACCAGAATCCTTTAACATGATTACCTTTAATATTATTTTACATTTATATTTGTTAATATACAACGAAGAGATAACACTTGGGTACATTAATGATGATTCATCTCTTTTAATTTAGATAAAAAAATTATTAATAGTAGCGGCACAATGCTGAAAATAGTGGGAATTCTGAGAGCCAATTGATGCTCTAGTGATGGGAGAAAAAGGCAGGGACTATGAAGGCAAAGTTTTCTTTTATAGGGGGAAAGGGATAAAAATGTTACCATCTTACTGTTAAATCTATATCTTCATGCCTAAGGTGGTTGAAAATGGAGAATAATGACTTGTTTATGAGTTATGCTAACATATATTTATTATGAATTTCTCGTAGGTCCCGTTAACATATATTTATTGTAGGTTTCTCTTCGACCCTAATGATATATATATATATATATATATATTATTGGTATAACGTTTGTCTCTTCTTAGTCGAGAGAACGTTATATCATGATGTTATTTGAGACTTTGTTTTTGGTGCAAAATTTGTGTTATTGGAACCTTGATAGGATTATGGTCGTGATGAACAGTTTACATTGTATAATTTGAACGGATAGATACGTCGTTAAGAGTTTGTTATATTAGCTGGTTTGTAGTTAAAGATTAGTTAGTTAGCTAGATAGTTAATTGTAGATGCTTGTGTATAAATACTTGTTTAGATAATTGAAAAGGTTAAACATTCTTCCAGAATTCTACAATTACATTTTTAACATGGTACCAGAATTCGTTGATCTCGCTTTTTTTTTCATCCGCATGTTAGTTTTTGTTGTTGTTGTGCTCTTGGGCCTGAGTTTGCACTTTACAGCCCATTAAGTGTTCTTTTGACTTCTTTGGTTTTATCTAGCTGTGTTGACCAAAGTTGTTTGGATCGGAGGATGTTTTATTGATTACACTCACCAGTTGTATTTGTATTCGTCGGACAAGGTGGGGACTATTCTAATCTCGCAGCAGTTGACCGAACGGAGAATTACAATGTTATGAGTAGATCTATAGAGATTGTATTTTCAGTAAAAAAAACAAACGAACTAGGTTTTGTGGAATGTCCTTACAAACGGGATAATTATGATGATCAGCTTTGTAATAAGGGGGATCGTTGTAATGCTTTGGTCTTATCTTGGATTCTGAACATTGTGAGTGGAGCTTTGTCAATTGGCATAGTGTTCGCCTGTAGTGCTACGTTAGTTTAGGGCGACTTGAAGGAGCGGTTCAACAAAGTAGATGGTGCAAGGATCATTTACCTGTATCGGGAGATTGCCATAACAAATCAAGGTGATTCTTCAATTGCTACCTATTTTAGTAAATTAAAGTTGTGGGATGAGCATAATGCCCTGGTGCCCTATTGATTAGTGCTTAAATTATACATTATTTTATAATTAATTACCCCTTAATTAGCTATTTTAAGTTGCTAACTTGGCCTTTTCGTTCATTTTCGATGCAAGACATCGAATTTCAGAAATTATGCTAAAACTGATGAAATTGTGCGATTTTTTATTTTATGAAATCAAGGTCAGATTAGTGGGCATGACTTCGCTGACGTGACATCCAATCAGCAGCTTTTAAAAGGTCCATTCACCAGCTTGCATGAAGGAGACTCATCCACATTTTTAATTCATTAGGATTTATTTTTATTTTTTAGGAATTATCTTTTAATTTTGAATGTAATTTCTTAGGGTTTTTTTAGGACTATAAATACCCCATTGGGGGTAAGCCTGAAACCATCATGGAGATCTTTGAATCATTTAATTTTGAACTCTTTGTTACTTTCTTTCTTTAGTTTTTATAAAAGTTTATTTTCTGTTTTATTTTCTTTTAAAATGCTAAGCATGAATTCAATCATGTTTAGCTAAGTTTTCCATAGCCAAAGGCTAAAGCGTGACTCTATTCTAAGTCATGAGAATCAAAAAACACATACCCTTTAGGGTTGCATTTTCAGTTTTTGAAAATCGAGATAATAATCGACCATCCTTTTACAATCAAAGCTATTTCATTTCAAAAAGTGCACATTGGAATTGAATTCCGGTTTTGATTAATAGTTGGGAGGAAGCATCGGCCTGTGGCTCATTCGACTTCTTGTGAACACACTTAGCGACGGTTCGTTAAGGGAAACTAAAATCGGGTTAGATTCTCAATTGAGAAAATACAATCCGAGTCGGGTTTTTCCTAAATTTAATGGAATTTAATTGGTAAACGATTGTCGCGTTAATTACAAAGAGTTGGGATCTAAAAATTTATTTTAAATTCTCGATTCATTTGAGAGAAAAACAAGTTACAAGGGTTGGGCCCTATAGACTATAACCGGCGTGAGCCTGGAGGTAAAATACTATTTAAGAATCGATTAAAATCAGGCAGAAGCTTTATCCCAAGGTTGTTTTATTTTCACCTTTTAATTTGATGTTTTACTTTATTTAGTTTAAATCTTTAATTGTTTTCATTCCCATCGAACACTTTCCCCCTTTTATTCTACTTGCACATCACGCCAAAATCAAAATCAAGAGCGAGGAATTCTTCAGTCTTCTAGTCCATGTAGATCAACCCTTACTCTCACTATTCTACTTAATTCATTTCTTTTATTAGAGATTAACGAACATTTTATTTTCACATCAGAATGAGTCTGCATCACCTTTCCTCAAGGTGAAATGCCATTTGAACTCAAGATGGGGTTGATACATGTTCTTCCTACCTTCAATGGGCTTCTAACAAAAGTCTACATAAGCATTTGGCAAAGTTTCATTTGGTCTATCTAAGCATGAAACTCAAGGCGTAATACCCCAAACATCGAGTTAGTGACTAAAGTGTAAGGATTGAAAATTTAGTGGTTTAATTTTGATAAATTAAAAAGTTAAAGGACTGATTTGGGAATTTTTATCTAGGACTTATATTCAAAGATGAAAAATAGAAGGGTACAATGGTCTTTTAGCAAAAAGAAACTTAAAATATATTTTACTAAGGTTATATAAAATGGGATAGAAAGAAAGAAAGAAAAAAAAAAAGAAAAAAAGAAAAAAAAAAAAAAAAGAAAAAAAAAAAAAGGAAAAGTCTGGAAGCTTTCTTTTCTCTTCTTCTCCTCTTCCCCGTGAAACTGCATACTAAGGTGAGTTACTTTTCAAGCTGGGTTTTCTTTTGTTTTTGATTTGGTTTTTAATCCTTGGGGGTATAGAGAAGCTTAAGGAAGCTTAAAGGTGATTAGAAGTTAAAGGATTGAGGAATTAATGGTGATTTAGTAAAATGGGTTTTCAAGAGAATTGATTGAAATTGATTATATTTGGATTTTTAAAGATATATTGACTTGTCAAGGGCCTAATTAAGAGGTTAGAGTGTTAGAAATGACTAAGAACATGTTTGAAGAATTGATATGATTTTTTTAGTTCAAGAGTTTTATGGTGAAATTGAGATGTTAAAGGGGTTTTTAATGGATATAAGTCGTGATGATAAGTGTAAATGAGTTTAAAGGCTTGAATGGAGTTAAAAGTAGGAGATTTAGTGAAGTTGGGTAATTTTCGAAGTGAAATACATGATTTCTGGGTAAGAGTATCGGTACTGGAAGAACAATACTGATACTATAAGGTTAAATTGAAGGAAATAGTATGAACCAGATGAACAATATCGATACTGGTTGAAGAAGTATCAATATTGATGTGGATGTATCGATAATAGAAATAAGGTATCGATACTGTAATTGTAAACATAATTCCTAAATGCCAAAATGTATCGATACCGAAGTGGGTATCGGTACCATAGTAGATAAATATCGCTACTGTAGGAGGGGTACTGATACTATTCAGTCTGAAATGTTAAATTAAGTGTTTATTTCGTTTAAGTAAAGTTAATTGGGTAGATGTAATTGAGCTCCGATATTCATGTGTTATGTTAATGTGTAGATTTGATCGA